TATATGAAATCTTATGTCCTATAATGTAGCTTTGTATCAATAGGATCTTCCCTTTCTCTTTACAGAAAGTACTATATTTTGAAGATAACCAGCATAATAAGTATGTTACAATAACATTTAGAATTCAGCCCTCTGATGATAACCAATGTAAACATTTTTTAACAACATTTATCAAGGCATATCTTTTTATAAGGCCATGAAAATTATTTGGGCTCCCACTAGTGAACAAAGATCAGAATAAATTTTCTGAGCAGCTGCTTCTTTATTTACCAACAGGAGCATATCCAAACTTAAAGGTTATATTTAATTACCTCTTAAGTTTTATATTTGATCCTATAAAGCCAGGTTGTAGAAATCAACAATCCACTTGCATTTGATGTCATTCTGATCAAAAACATACATACATCTTTGAACACTTAAGACAGACAAACATATAACACTTAAGACGGACAAACATATAAGACAATTTTAACAAGTGCACTCAGATGGTTTTAGCCAATTGAATTATAAATTCTTTTTGTTATGACAAGTCAAAATTTTTGCAGGTCAAAATTAACAGAGATCTCTTGTAGAATTAGGGTTAAAGGAATGAATACTCTTGACTATAAATATAAACCTTTTATAACAAACTCAAAACCTACAAGCAAACATTTTATAAATCATTTCCATAAACATTCTCTACATTCTTAGGTAAAGACAAGAGGAACATACAAAAACCTTTCATGTTAAAAGTATAACTCTTACTTATAGCTTTCCTAATATATCTCTATCTCATTTCCTATTAACCTTCTATAACAAACTACTATTTTGTTCTTTATTTTGGTCTATAGTCAGTTTAGAACATACCCTAGCTTGGAGTGTGTGGGGGGAGGGACAGACTGGTCAATAGATACAAAGTCAAAGTCACAGCCAGATGGGAAGAATAAGTTCTGGAATTCTATTACACTGATTATTATAGTCAACAATACTGAAGAGTACTTCAACATGGCTACAAGACAGGATTCTGAATGTTCTCATCACTAAGAAATGATAAATGTTTGAAATGATAGATAACCTAAGCATCCTGAGTTGATCATTTCACAATATGTAAATGTAATAAAATACTATGCTGCATCACATAATGATATACAAGATTATCTCAATAAAATAATTTAAAAGAAATCCTACAAATCCATACAATTTGTGTGTCAAAAGCTATTATACCATACATAAGAAGTGACACTAGTATACACATACTTAAACTAGCAGGCTTATACAAAATAATCTTAGAAATAATTAAAATAGTTAAGAGTAGCTAAACAGATATAAGTAATGATCTTACTTTATCTTCTAAGACAATTAGGTATCTATCTCCAACACTGAACGTCCTTGCATATTACCTCAAAATGTTAATTCCTTCTCTAACCCTCAAACACAAGCAGAATTCTGTGCTTTTCTTGCAGCAATAATAGCTATCACAACATCTTAACCTCATCAAGAAGTTCAAATACAAAAAGAAGATATGCCTGAGCTTACAAATCATGCTAAATATTTCACCTTCACAATTAAAAGTGAAAACTTTTCAAAGAAAAGGACTAAACCAAATTATAACCCCATAACATATATTCTTCTGTAGTCCCAAGATCTGGCCCAAAAAGCTCTGTGAAGAAATTATTCGTCACATTAGGGGTATCACACTATTTTAATCCAAATTGTCAAATCAACACTAGCCAACTAACTGAATGCAGATCAATATCATCTTCATTCCTATATTAATTGCAGGAGTTGAACACAGAAAATACATTTAGAGAAAAAAAATACCTAGGAAGTAACACTCAATTGATGCTACTCTTCATTAATAACACTATAAAGCTTATCATCTTTCTGAGCCTAGTCTACCATACACATTTAAAGTCAAATGATTAGTCAAAGACTTCAAAATCTTCCAAATAATTGTAAGGAAGTTCCAAACTGGCACTGAGGGTATTAGTGTTATGTAACAAGGAAGTGAAAGAAGTTAAATTAACTGCAGAAAATTCCTCCTTGGGACAAAATTAAAGAGAATACTTATATCAGAACTGATTTGACAGCAGCTTTGTGTTGTGATTTAAAAAAAAAAAGATAAATAATCTCCTTCAACGGTTATTTAAAAATAGAAACTACAGATACAAGGAAATAAAAACTAGTTTTAGGAGAAAAAAAAAAAAACAAAAGAGTAGGATATCCAACACCCCATTGTCAAATTTAAAATCATATTGTCAGTTGACCAAAGCAGTTCAAATTCAAAGTCTGTGCTATGAAACTGTATAATTATGTTCTATTAAGGGTTGGATAACACCAATGCACTGTAACAATTTGCTTCCTAAATTATTTCCACTTACAGATAAAAGACATATGAGACATAAGGTTAACTAAACTTACATATAAATCCAAGACAAGTTTTCAGTTTGATTTAAAAACAAAACAGAAACAAGCTTCAAAATAAATCACAGTATCTTCTATTAACATATAACTTAGCCAAACCTTCAGTAAATGTCCAAGTTTTAGCACACACTGTCACTGTCCTTAGATATTCCAATTAAATGAACCACTTTTTCCCTGGTCTGAGTGAATAGAAGCCTACTAAAACAAATGCCAATGCTTTTAAAAACTTAAGGACACAAAAGTTTAAAAACATAATCCTCCCAGATGGAAGGGAAGTAATCAGAAGTTCAATACCCAGTTCACTAAAGAAAATGACAGCTAAAAGCTTTCTGAATACAGATTCTAATATAGATTTCATTATTCAAACTCCTCCCAAGTTTCCGATGCTCTTCATTCTACAGTTACAGATTTGGCTGGATTCCGTGGGAAATCAATATCATAGCCTCTCAACCCAGCAAGGTGGAAAGCCAGCAGCTGTAAGGGGATTACACTGAGAATGCCTTGCAAGCAGTCCACTGAGAGGGGCACCTTGATCGTCCTTTTCGTGTTCTTAATGGTCTCAGTATCCTCGTTATCACAAATTACAACAGGGTGACCCTGCCGGGAGACCACCTGCTGATTCAGTTTAAAGTACCTTTTTCTGCTTTTAGATTGTTACATCTTAAAATTTGACTGGCTGCCAAGAGAACAGTATTAACCTAAAAGAGAAAGTTAACCCTATAATCGCAGTATGAAACAATGCACCAGAAGTGTTACCAAAACTAGTTTTCATTAACAGCTGACTGTCACAGAGCAGAAGTGTGAGCAACTCCTAGGCTGGAGCAAAAGCAGCCAAACAATGTAAGACAAAGACTTATGAAAACCAAACCGAAAGAAGAACCAGGGACTCTGTCAGGGAATCTCCTTAATCTCCTGTTCCAAAACCAGAAGAACACTCTGACCAGAGGGTCTTGAGGAGGGGAAAAATCAACCTCCCTCCCCATAAACAGAGAGACAGAGTTCCTACCACAGGGGCAAAGAACCTCTCCAGCCCCTGCGGTGGGGAGTCCACTAGCACATCTGCCTGGACCTCCCTCCCTGCCTCCAAAATTATCCGGATCACACATTACCAATTCAGACATTAACAGGAAAAGAAAGACACAGAAGCAAAGAAAAGGAAACCAAGGACAAACTATTTCTACAAATTCTAATAAATTACACAATTGCTGGTGTCCTACTCTAGCACCACTGACACGCAGTAAATCTTTAAGCATATGTACAAAAAGCATGCAACTCTTGCCTGTTCCCATTTTTAATATTTATAAGAAAACTCACTGCTCCCCTTCTGCCTTCCTTTCAAAGGTCCTCTTTTTTCTTTATGTCGAGATCTCCTTTTCAGTGGGAGTTTTGAGAGCGGTGTTTAACAAAGCCCAATAAGAAAAGGTACTTTCTGGAAAATGATCGGGCTCAGCCACAAGGGCCTTCTGCAGCTGTTTACCTATTTTTCCCCAGACTTCTAGATTTATTTCAGCCTCATCACACAACCATGGACAAACTTCATCCAATATTTTCACAAATGCTTCCAATTGAGCCTTCTTAATTTTAACCCCTTGTACTTTTAGCAACTTTTGTATAGAGTTGCCTACATAACCTCTAGATTCCATTTGACACATACTTTAACTAAGAATTTGAGGGCTTACACCCCTTGTTACTACTGCCGTGATCAGGACTAATGTCCCCTGTCTCTCATCGGCAAGCCCTTACTTCTACTGCTGTGATCAGGACTATCATCCCCTGTCTCTCATCAGCGGCACCCTCTTCTACAACATTTCCCTCTACTGCCGTGATCAGGACTATCATCCTCTGTCACTCACTTGCAGGAGCCACAGGGATCAGTCGCAGTTCTTGTTGTAGTGTCCTAGATCGCAGGGCACTCTCCTCCATGTGCCTCTTACTCAGATGCCTGTTCAGGCGCCACTTGTGGTGAGAGGCAACGTCAGAATCCTGCCAGCAGGTCCCAAACTCAAGGGAAGAACAACAGGAGAGCAAACAGTTTCACAAACTTAGTTCCAGGCTCATGCTGTCTTCGTAGCAAAAGTACAGTTTGCTATTCAGGGTGGGGTATATATAGGCTAAAACCGAAACCAAAAGTGTAAACAGGGTGCAGGTGACTGCAAAGGTCACAAGGTTCTACAAAACGAGTATTACGGGATACATTTGCTAGGCAACAGGTCAGACCACCACTTGAACTAGCCCGTTGCTATGGGTGACAGCACGTGGGTGTCGGCGAGGAGACTCAAAGTTCAATCATGGCGATACCTATGTCAAAGCTCACCATAAAGGCTCACCATAGGCTTATCTGGTACAAGTGCCTCACAACAGTGTTTCAATCTCTACCAGGCAGACACCTACAAACAAAAAGGAATACAATTGTACTCCATATAAGATGTGGTCTTCACTAGTAAACTCACACATTTGCAGCACGTTTCTCAGTGGAGTTCTTCATATTCAGGAAACGAATCACTTTGGTTTCAAAGGGTGAAGCAGTGAAAGAAGCTGTTTCCCAAGGAAAACTGCAGTTAAAACTGCAGAAGCACTCTGCAAAGTGCATTTGTGTTCTAACCTCAAACTGAACCTATCACCAAGTAACAAAGTTCTGGACGCCTGTGTGCACTCAGAGATGGTAGGCACACTCTTAGGCCTTAAGGGCTTTTCTGGTACAAGTGACTCACAACAGTGTTTCAATCTGCACGAGGCAGAGACATACAAAGAAAAAGGAATACAATTGTACTCCATATACGTTGTGGACTTCACTGGTAAACTCACACAGTTGCAGCACCTTTCTCTGAGGAGTTCTTCACATTCAGGAAACTATCTGCTTTGATTTCAAAGGGCTAAGGAGTGGAAGAACCCATTTCCTGGGGAAAATTGCAGTTTAACCTACAGAATCACTCTGCAAAATGCGTTTGTATCCTAACCTCAAATTGAACTATCACCAAGTATACAGGATTCTGAAGGCTTGTGTGCACTCAGAGCTGCTAAGCACTCTCTTAGGCCTTAACTTCTTTTGTGGTACAAGCGCCTCACAACAGTGTTTCAATCTCTGCCAGGCAGCAATGTACAAAGAAAAAGGAATACAGTTGTACTCCATATAAGATGTGGACTTCACTGGTTAACTGACAGAGTTGCAGCACCTTTCTCTGTGGAGTACTTCACATTCAGGAAACTATCTGCTTCGGTTTCAAAGGGCTAAGCGATGAAAGAAGCTGTTTCCCAGGAACACTGCACTTTGAAGTGCAGAAGCACTGAGCAAAGTGCGTTTGTGTTCTAACCTCAAACTGAACTTATTACCAAGTATACGACGTTCTGGAAGCTGGAGTGCACTCAGAGCTGCTAATCACTCTATTAGGTCATAAGAGTTTTCTGATACAAGCACCTCACAGCATTGTTTCAATCTCTGCCAGGGAGCAACCTACAAAGAAAAAGGAATACAGTTATACGTCATATAAGATGTGGACTTCACTGGTAAACTCACAGAGTTGCAGCACCTTTCTCAGTGGAGTACTTCACATTGAGGAAACTGACTGCTTTGATTTCTAAGTGCTAAGTGAGGAAAGAAGTTGCTTCCCGGGGAATACTGCATTTGAAATCACAGAAGCACTCTGCAAAGTGCATTTGTGTTCTAACCTCAAACTGACCTATCAGCAAGTAACAAAGTTCTGGACGCCTGTGTGCACTCAGAGATGCTAGGCACTCTCTTAGGCCTTACGGGATTTTCTGGTACAAGTGACTCACAACAGTGTTTCAATTTGCATGACGCAGAGACATACAAAGAAAAAGGAATACAATTGTGCTCCATATACGTTGTGGACTTTACTGGTAAACTCACACAGTTGTAGCACCTTTCTCTGAGGAGCTCTTCACATTCAGGAAACTAACCGCTTTGATTTCAAAGGGCTATGGAGTGGAAGAACCTGTTTTCTGGGGAAAATTGCAGTTTAACCTGCAGAATCTCTCTGCAAAATGCGTTTGTATCCTAACCTCAAATTGAACTGTCGCCAAGTATACAGGATTCTGAAGTCTTGTGTGCACTAGAGCTGCTAAGAACTCTCTTAGGCCTTAAGGGCTTTTTTGGTACAAGTGCCTCACAACAGCATTTCAATCTCTGCCAGGAAGCAACCTACAAAGAAAAACGAATACAGTTATACTCCATATCAGATGTGGACTTCACTGGTTAACTCACAGAGTTGCAGCACCTTTCTCTGTGGAGTACTTCACATTCAGGAAACTATCTGCTTTGGTTTCAAAGGGCTAAGCGATGAAAGAAGCTGTTTCCCAGGGAAAACTGCACTTTGAAGCACAGAAGCACTGAGCAAGGTGCGTTTGTGTCCTAACCTCAACAGAACCTATCACCAAGTATACAACGTTCTGGAAGCTTGAGTGCACTCAGAGCTGCTAAGCACTCTATTAGGCCTTAAGGGTTTTCTGGTATAAGCGCCTCACAGCGTTATTTCAATCTCTGCCAGGGAGCAACCTACAAAGAAAAAGGAATACAGTTATACGCCATATAAGATGTGGACTTCACTGGTAAACTCACAGAGTTGCAGCACCTTTCTCAGTGGAGTACTTCACATGGAGGAAACTGACTGCTTTGAGTTCTAAGTGCTAAGTGGGGAAAGATGTTGCTTCCTGGGGAAAACTGCTGTTTACTCACAGAAGCACTCTGCAAAGTGCGTTTGTGTTCTAATCTCAAACTGAACTTATCACCAAATATACAGCTTTCTGGACCCTTGTATGCTGTCAGAGCTGCTAAGAACTCTCCTAGATCTTAAAAGCTTTTCTGGTACATGCACCTCACAGCAGTCCTTCAATGTCTGCCAGGCAGCAACCTACAAAGAAAAAGGAATACAGTTATACTCCACATAAGATGTGGAATTCACTGGTAAACTCACAGAGTTGCAGCACCTTTCTCTATGGAGTACTTCACATTCAGGAAACTAACTGCTTTGGATTCAAAGGGCTAAGCCACAAAAGAAGCTGTTTCCTGGGAAAAACTGCATTTTAAACCACAGAAGCACTCTGCATATTGCGTTTGGGTTCTAACCACAATTTGAACCTATCACCATGTATACAAACTTCTGAAGAATTGTGTGCACTCAGAGCTGCTAAGCACTCTCTTAGGAATTAAGGGCTTTTCTGGTAGAAAGGACTCGCAACACTGTTTCAAGCTCTGCCAGGCAGTGACCTAGAAACAAAAAAGAATAAAGTTTTACTCCATATAAGATGTGTAATTCACTGGTAAACTCACAGAGTTGCAGCAACTTTCTTTGTGGGGAACTTCACATTCAGGAAACTAACCCCTTTTGTTTCATAGAGCTAAGCAGGGAAAGTTGTTTCTCAGGGAATACTGCAGATTAAATTGCATAAGGACTCTGCAAAGTGAATTTTTATTCTAACCTCAAAATGAAACTATCACCAAGCATACAGGTTTCTGGAGTCTTGTGTGCACTCAGACCTGCTGAGAACTCTCTTAGGCATTAAGGGCTTTTCTGGTACCTGCACCTGATAGCAGTGTTTAAATCTCTGCCAGACAGCAACCTACAAAGAAAAAGGAAAACAGTTATACTCCATAGGAGATGTGGACTTCACTGGGAAACTCACAAAGTGCAGCAACGTTCTCTGTGGAGTACTTCACATTCAGGAAACTAAAAGCTTTGGTTTCAAAGGGTTAAGCGGCGAAAGAAGCTATTTCCTAGGGAAAACTGCACTTTAAACCACAGAAGCACTGTGCAAAGTGCATTTGTGTTCGAACCTCAAACTGAACCTATCACCAAGTATGCAGGATTCTGATAGCTTGTGTGCACTCAGAGCTGCTAAGCCGTCGCTTAGGCCTTAAGGGCTTTCTGGTACATGTACCTCACAACAGTGTTTCAATCTCTGCAGGCAGCAACTTACAAAGAAAAAGGAATACATTTGAATGCAATATAAGATGTGGAATTCACTGGAAAAGTCGCAGAGTTGAAGCTTCTTTCTCTGTGGAGGACTTCACATTCAGAAAACTGACCACTTTCATTTCAAAGGGCTAAATGGGGAAAGAAGCTGTTTCCCGGAAAAAACTGCAGTTTAAACCACAGAAGCACACTGCAAAATGAGTTTGTGTTCTAATTTCCAACTGAACCTATCACCAAGTGTACAAAGTTCTTAGGCTTGTGTGCACTCAGAGATGCTTAGCACTCTCTTAAGGCTTAAGGGCTTTACTGGTACAAGGGCCTCACAACACTGTTTCAATCTCTGGCAGGCAGGGAACTACAAAGAAAAAGGAATACAGTTGTACTACATAAAAGATATGAAATTCAGTGGTAAATTCACAGAAGTGCAGCACCTTTCTCTGTGGAGTACTTCAAATTGAGAAACTAACCGCATAGGTTTCAAAGGGCTAAGCAGTGAAAGAAGCTGTTTCCCAGGGAAAAATGTAGTTTAAACCGCAGAAGCATTCTGCACATTGCTTTGGTGTTCTAACCTCAATGTGAACCTATCACCAAGTATTCAGGACTCTGGAGGTTTGTGTTCACTCAGAGCTGCTAAGCACTCTCTTGGGCATAAAGGGCTTTTCTGGTACAAGCGCCTCACAACAGTGATTCAATATCTGCCAGCAGAGAACTACAAGCAAGAAGAAATAGAGTTGTACTCCCTATAAGATGTGGACTTCACTGGTAAACTCACAGAGATGCAGCTCCTATCTCTGTGGAGTTCTTCACATTCAGGTAACTGACCACTTTGACATCAAAGGGCTAAGTGGGGAAAGAAGTTGCTTGCCGAGGAAAACATCATAATCACATAAGCACTCTGCAAAGTGCAATTGTGTTCTAACCTCAAACTGAACCTATCACCAAATATGCAGGTTTGTGGAGTTTTGTGTGTACTCAGAGATGCTAAGAACTCTCTTAGGCCTTAAAGACTTTTCTGGTACAAGCTCCTCACAGCATTGTTTGAATCTGTGCCAGGCAGCAACCTACAAAGAAAAAGGAATACAGTTATACTCCTTAGAAGATATGTAATTCTCTGATAAACTCACAGAGTTGTACCACCTTTCTGTGTGGAGTACTTCACATTCAGTAACCTATCCGATTTGGTTACAAAGGGCTAAGCAGTGAAAGAAGTTGCAGTTTCAACTGCTGTAGCACTCTGTGCAGTGCGTTTGTGTTCTAACTGAACCTATCACCAAGTATAAAGGATTCTGGAGATTTCTGTGCGCTCAGAGTAACTAAGCACTCTCTTAGCTCTGAAGGGCTTTTCTGGTTTAAGTGCCTCACCACAGTGTTTCAATCTCTGCCAGGCACCGACCTGCAGAGAAAAAGGAATACAGTTATACTCTCTATAAGATGTGGAAATCACTGCTAAACTCACAGAGTTGTAGCACCTTTCTCTTTGAAGTACTTCACATTCAGGTAACTAACCTCTCTGGTTTCAAAGGGCTGAGCGGTGAAAAACCTGTTTCCCAGAAAAAC